TAATTCTTTCCTCTTCTTCCCTTAGGCTTCTCCCTTTTAGTTCTTCCAGTCCCATTTTTATCTTCTCTCCTATCCTCCCACCATCTCTTCTTTCCCTTATCATCTCTATCAAGTCCTCWATACCCATTTCCCTCAACACACTGACCAAATTCTCCCCCCATTTTGATGGATTCCCGTTCGTTATGGTGAATATCTTACTATTTATTGCAACATCATAAATATGTATTATATAAGAAAAATTGAATGTAATCGACTGGATATTTAAGGGCAATATCATTGCCGAATAAATGTGAACATTTAATCATAACTTTTGAATCAAACTTTAAATGATCCATGATTATGTAACATATTTTTCTTATTTTTGTGTATATAATATGCTGACAACATTTGCTTGAGAAACCCTTGGACATTGTATGTAGGTCTAATGGAAGATGAGAAATAGGGATATGGTTTTCTTTCATATCCCTTTGGAATACTGTTACGTTTTTTTTTTTTGTAAATAAAGATAAATATTCCCATAAATCTTCATAATCTTTCATATTCTTCCACAGTGTGAATGTACAATACAATATGTATATATGAATGTAGTGGTTTGATATTTGAAACTATTCCTTTTACTTCTTCTTCTTCTTCTTGTTTTTTGTATCTTTTGTATAAACAAAAATATTTTATTTTTATGGAAGAAGATATTTATATAGAAAAACAATAATATTTTAAGATTGATGTTTACTTAGTGACTTATAAAAATCAATTCGTACGTTCAAGGAATTTATTTTCATTGTTAAAAAGAAAGTAACTGAAAGCAAATTATTACAGAAACAGAGAGAAAAGAAAGATTTAAAAAATATGACACTTTGTATATGTAATATAGTGAATATTTTGTTAAAGGTCAGTTGAAATCAAATAGAACATATTGCATTTACCATGTGGCAAGTCAATTATTTGAAAGTAAAAAGTTTTTTTTTCTCTATTCATCCTTTGCTTTAAATACAATTTTTCTATTAAATTTACGTGTTCGTTTTTTTTTTACTTTTAGCAAATGTACATTTTTCCTATGGTGTGTATGTGTGTGCAACGCGTGTATACTTATACGTGTGTGAAAACGCAAAATTTTTTGTTTTTTTTTTTTGTTTCTATTAATACGCAAAATATTTTCGTATAAAACTTTTAGTTGGACGCATTATTATATATTTTTATCGGTTTAACTATGATAGCATAGTATCAACCAATTACTTAATCTTATTCGCCGACGTTAACGATTTCCGGGATTGCATGTTAGCCAAGGTTTTACTCGCACTTTATGCAAGATATTTACTTGGGATTAAAACGAGCTAGTATAGTGAGAGTGTGTTATATACAAAGAGAAAGAGAGATAGATATATAGATAGATATTATACCTTTTATGTAATCAGAACATGTTTGTCGTGTATGTTAATAATAATAGAGTTTATTAGTATCGTGTGTATTTTGATAATTAACAACCTTCGAGTCTCGATCCAATTTACATGGAATTAAAAAAAAAATGTAATTACACATTCTTATTGAATATTTTTGTTCTCGATATATTTCATTAGATTAATGTGCAACGACGTTGTTTATCGTTGATACAAATGAAATATCTGTCGCAAAAAGAAAAAAGTTGGCTAATTAATATTATATTAATTAATAATTAATATTCATTAATAATTATACACACATTTATTATTTGTAACTTAATTAATTAACGCAATAATAAGAGTTAACGTTTATTATGATGATTCTTCGAAGAGAAACAATAATTTTCTTTCCAATTATATCAACCATGGGTTTTTACCGTATTATAGATAACCGTGATAAAATAAAAGATTAGAATTTTTTTTTATAAAACGCGAAATATGGAAAATTCGATCGATCATTTCGAGTACCATACACATATGGTTCTTCACCTGATAAAAAGCAAACAACGTGTCCTGCTGTAAGTATCATGGCGTTAGGACAAAATAAACTAATAGCGATCATTCTATGTATTCTTTATATATATATATACCAGTAATTTTTATATAATGTATTTTTTTGTTGAAATAATTAAGAAGAATTTATGAAATAAACCGCTAACTCGATCATTATTTGTCAGGAAATGTTTCGTTGATTTGGAATAATTTGATTTTCACAAAAGAGGAAACATCATGTGCCACAAATATAGTTATATATTTATAAAACAATTGGTGTCAACAAATATCACATAAATAATTCATTTTTCAATGAAAAAGGTATTTAACGATAAATATTTCAAAATTAAATGTAATCGTATTATAGCTATCTCTCTCTGAATTAAATTATCAATCTCTCTCTCTATCTCTATCTCTTTTTTTCAATTTAATTTATCCAATTAAGTATCACCGATTTAATCAATTATTATACTATTTCGATCGTTCAATCATTGTTTTAAATACATTACCTTGCACACTCAACGATATTTCAAATACTTATAATAGAACAATCTGAAGATTATTTAATATAAAAATGAATTTGTTTAATATATATATATATATTATATATTTGTTGAGAATTTCTTACAAGTATCTTGAAATGATTTCACATAAAATGTAACGTTTAAAAATGTGTATATTTAAACATTTTATATATCTTTGTACTTCAAAGAAAGAAAAACATTTGTTAAACATTAAGCTCTGTATTCTTGTTTTGTGTCGTATTTTACAAAGCATTTTCCAAGATGCATTCTCGGTTTGTTCAAATGTACGAAATAACAGGGATAATTCTATTAAAGCCATCCACGTGCTAGACTTTGAACCTTTCAGTCCTTCTATTCGTAGAAAAATAACTCTTCTTTTATATATATATAAAATACTTTTATGTATTTCATGTCTTATAAATGTTATTTCGTAATAACAAAATTTTATTTTTCTAGAATTTCTGTATTTCATGTATTATAAATGATTATTTCGTAATAACAATATTATGTGTTTTTCTATAATAATATATAATTATTTTTATCTGATTGCAGATGAGAAAAATATAAATTGCTAATTAATAGCAAACAATGGAAAAATAAAGAAAAAAAAAAAAAGAAACGCGAAAGAAAATATTCCAAGCTGGAAGATCTAAGAAGGATCGAATAAAACATGCGGTTCTTCGTGAAAAACCGCTCGACAACCGATCGGAAAGGTATCGTCAAGGATGATTCGTTGGATCGGGATGTTGGCTTTGGCCAGATCGAAGAAAACAGCATCAGTAACAATACCATTATCAATAGTAACAAAAACGGATATCTCGAAAAAATTATTATCAAAGATATCGAAAATTGTATCTTCAACGACAATCGTAATATCATCGAGAAAAATAATAAAACGTTTATCGTATACGACGAATCTAAATTCGAGAAAATTCGCGATAACGATAGAATCAAATTCTACGAGAAATATATCGAAGGAAAAATCGATAACGAAGAGGAAAACGTTGCGATCGCAAAGATCTACGATTATTTCTGGGAATGTTCGTCATTTTTCCGCTCGAGGAACTTCTTCGATTATATGAGAATCCTTTTCGGGAATCTTTCGAGCCATTGACCTTGAACGATAACTATATTAATTCAGTTTCGTCAAATTCCAGTGGCTATCGGGAAGAAAATCCTATTTATCGTCGTACTATTCCTGTCGTCAAACTCGATACTACGAAAAATGAATATTATGACGATCGGACGAAAATAGAAAAAGTTCGTGAAAAGGGAGAACGTAAAAAGGATAATAATAATAATAATACTAGTAGTAATAAAAAAAAAATTAATAAGGATAAACAATTGCGTAATAAATCCAAACGAAGGGATCAGCAACCACGTTACGATTACGATTACGATTACGATAACGATAATAACATACTACGAGATAAAACGAGACAAGTGTCTCGTAAAAAAAGCCGGAATATGCTAAACAATCGAAATATTATTGGCGACGAAGCCGCCGCCGCTACTACCACAATTACTGCTAATAATCCTTTGAAGGATCTTATCCAACCAAATCTCAACGATGCCCTTAAACAACACAATGTTAACGCTCTCAAACTTGTCCAGACCGGTAAGTCATTGTTTTATCGTTATATCTACATATTTTCATTTATTTGATCAAAATAAGTATTACAATATAAATAAATTAAAGTAATTGTATCAATAATAATTATAATACTGGATTAACAAACAATTTTTTAAGATTTATAGTATTCGTTTATGACACACATTGAAGTTTTCCATTTTGCTTTAATTCGAATGGAAATGTTCAAACTTATTACATTTGTGAGTGAATATGATAGTTTTTACCATTTTTTTTTTTTTATCAATTTACATAAAAATAAACACAAGAATAATATAGGAAGGGTTTAACATATTCAATTAATTTTGATAGTTATAGATGACATTTATTTTTTTTGTTCTTAAACCTTTCACGTTCATCTACAATTTATCTTATATTTTTGTTTTAAGTTTTAATCGAATATATTCCTAAAATCGAATTTAATTTTACGGTTTAACGAATTGGAAATTACAAGTTTTAAGATTTCATCGTATTGAGATAACTTAGTTTGAACGATAAAAGATCAGATAAATCTTTCTCTTAAATTTTCAAATGACGATTCATTTTCACAATCGTATAGATTTCACTAAATTAATTTTCTTCGGTGGGAGGGGGGGGAAAGTAGAAGTAGAAAAAGAAAAAGAAGAAGTTATAATTACATATAACTTCAGAGACAAGACTCTCGAGAGAATTATCTTGCTTTTCGGGTAATAAAAGTAATGGCAAATCGATCTAACAAGAACTAAATACTAACTAAGATCATTAAATATTCAACGAGAAAGTCGGTCGAGTTAGTTTGCTGGTTGGTCGACTGTTAGCTTTAAAGCTTTGAAATACTCTATGAACGAACTTGAATTATTTTCTCTCTCGGGTCTAACTATTCTCTTCTTCCGATCGAAACTACCAAATTTATTCTTTTTTCCTTTTCTTTTACGTTACATGATAAAAAAGAAAAAAAAGGAAAGAAAAAGAAACTCGATCGATAGGAGGAACATTTGTCAAATAATAATAATAATAATAATAATAATCAGAAAGTTGATTTCGTTTATTGTTGGTGAACAAAATTTGTGTTTCTTTTTTATTCTTCAAATTCTGTTAAACCCTTTTGTTAAATCAGTGAAATAAATATTGAAATCAAATTATACGGGGACGATTTGTTTGGAAAATTTACTAACAAATGCGTTTACGTGTACGTTTGAACGAAAAAAAAAAAAAAAAAAAAAAAAAAAAAAAAAGTTCTTTATAACAGAGATAACGAACACACGTACAAGAATATTTAGTTGAATATATTGCATGTATTAGATAATATTTCTCAGAAAATTCGCGTCCTGATTTATAAAAATAGATATATTATTATATAATATTTGATATAATGAAGTATTATAATAAGTATGGCACGTGTTTCACGTGTTTTTAATTTAGAAATTTTTATGTCAAAAACTCATCGTGTTCTTATAAAAGTCATGGAAAAAATTCAACAAAATTGGCACATTAGTAAAGTTGTGTGTGTAATATCGGTAAAGAACTAAACACCTTATTATAAAATAGTATCATTTGTAGAAAAGGTTATATACAAAATATGAAATATAAATTCGTTTAACTTTTTCATTAGGAAACATTTTGTCTCAATTTAAAATAACCGAACTCTAAATTCCCTTGACGTTTATAAAATAAATTTAAAGATCATTTCACCGAACACACACACACACATAAATTACACTCTTCTAACATAAACGAGAACGCGTGAAACGAAAACTGGATAAATGAAAAAATGTGTTCGATCGCGATGGGAAAAGAGAATCGTTTGATATTCAACCGTGTAAATAATAAGATTAAAGTTAAACTAGTCGTGATATTAAGCCAGCTTAATCAAATGAATTTAATTAAGGATATTATACGGTTGGAATAGGTTTCAGCTATTAGAATCTTTCGTGCATAGTTTCAATTTTACGACTAGTTTATCAAAGTTCTCCTTACTGTTTAACAGTAAAATTTATTTTATTAGTTATACCATGTTTTGTGTTTTAAACGTTCTCGCTATGATATATTAAAACTAAAATTAGTATTACTATGAAAGTACTTCATTATTTATATTATGTACGCGTGTGTTTCCGTTAATGAATGAATTGCAAAACCTTTTTCCTTTTACCTTTTTCTTGTTCAGTGTATACTTATGGGGAGGGGAAAAAATGGAAAGAAAAAGGAACTGTTGCGTAGGAAAAAATGTATACGCGGGTTGTATAATACAAGTCGTAATAATTTTAAGGATCAGTAATTACTTGCACCGTTGGATTTCAACCTTTACCCTTCTCTGCTCAACCCTCACTAGTCATCAATTAATTATCCGAGAAATTCTGAGAGTCAGGGCTGTAATTAAGAAACTCGTTTCTGCATCGGCCCTCGAGGATTCTTAGATTTTAGAGTAGATTTCTTTTTTGTTACTTTTTTTTCAAGAGTTCATTCTGGGACTCTTATGCACGTTCAACACACAATAATCGTTTTTTCATTATCAACATTATCGGATTTTATTTTACCGTTGGAATGCGATAAACTTAAAAACGATTATCAAAATATTTATTATGTATACAAATTTATTTGACACGATATATATGTTTATTTGAAAAAAAAAAAAAAAAANAAGAAATTTCCCTGAAAAAATATATTCGTATATATTTTTTTTTTCTTTTTTAAATAACTTTACAAATAATTAAATAATTCATCTCTCGATTTGTCTTAACAATAAACGTTATTGAATTATCTTTAATAAAAAAAAATAATATGAACAAAGGAATCTTACAAAGAATCTTCGTTGATTCGTCATAGAATATTTTTTTTTCATAGAAACGAAGAATATTTTTTGTAAAAATCGAATAACACGCGTACCTTCGTAAACCACGCGAAAACTTTAGCAACAACGACGACGACGACAACAACCATAATGACGACGACGAAGACTATGAAACGAAAGGGATTGGGGCTCGGAGTTAAGGGAAAGGGACTTTAGAAAGCATTTGCCTCACCATGAAGCTTCCTCTAACTTCCTATAACTTGTGCTTACCATCTTGGAGAGTTACTTTACAAGATGTTCTTGCTTCTCTTGCTTTGATATCTTTCACTTAGACCATCTGATCTTTTTAACCTTTAAACAGAACTATACTTTGATAAGTATCTTACGTTTGTCTTATCAAATACAAAAAATTTCTATGTTCGTACATATTCAATGATTATTAAAAAAGAAAAAAAAGAAAAAAGAATGATTGACAATTTAAATGTATAATTTTGTATAATATTACTTAAAAATCGATATCACTTATATGCTTTATTAATTTATTAACACGATTTAATTTTTATTTACATGGGAAACTATAATGATTTGAAATTAAGTGGATTATATGAACGGGTTGAAAAGTTTCGAGCTTAACACATATTATAGAAACGATTTTAAAAAGTGACTTTTATTCGTCGACATCAGATCATTAATTTTAGATAAGAACATGCTCTCGATAATTTTCAACTCGTTCTTGTAAATTCGAGGATTTTTGTTAAGACAACAAGAAAAAAAAAAGAATTGTAGCTTTTTATTTCGATTCGTATATTCGATTTTGTTCGATTTCATATTGTTATTATGCATTCATTTTATATTTTTCGTTATAATTGTTTGATACAAGCTTAAAATGAAATGATCGTTCGGTAATTAAGTTTTACAGATTGGTAATTTTGCGTAAAATAAAAATCAAAAAAATTATATGATCGGTGCAGTGTTTAATTAAGGGGTTACATGGGTTTACACCGGGAAAAAATAGCATATTTTCAAAAATTTTTTTTTCTATATAAAAAATGGAATTCTTATTCAAATTTTTTATAGTATTTAAGATACATATTTGAAGAATATTTCTTGAATTTTTGGTTGAAAAATATTTTAAACTCAGCCATTGCGACGTCATTTCCGGTGACCCCACCGAAAAAAAGTGTTTTCGCGTTGACAGCAGAACTTATAAACGGTGGGAGTTTTTCTGTTGAAAAAATAGGGTCTTTTAGTGAATACTTAAAACTAGAAACTGGACGAAGGAAAAAGAAAAAACTTCAAATTTGGATTTTTGGCAACGTTTTTAGCAAGAACATTCAAATTTCGCAACAATTTGCACCACATTTTGGTTTCTTAAAATTCGATTTTATGAAAAAAACGAAAATCCTTCGTCCAAGTCCTTGTCAATAGTATTACGAAGACGTGTGGCAAATTTCATCAAAATTGGTTAAATAGTTTTCGAGAAATCTTGACAACCGACTTTAGAAAAAGCGTTTTGAGAAAAACGCGTTTAAAGATATGAGTGCTGGTATAAGAGCCATTAAAGAATGAAACTTCCCAGGGCTCTATCTTTAAAACTACTACTCCTATCGACTTCAAAATTCAATACAATATTCTAGATGAGTTTTAGAATTGAAAAAAAAAATAAAAAAAAAAAATTTTTTTGAGAGTCCCAAACCTATGTAACCCCTTAAATTTTTGTCATTTGAAGTATCGGTAGGTTTGTTTAAAAAATAGCCTCATTATTATAATATATATATTAGGGTGAATCAAAAAAAAACTTTTATTTTTTTTTTGGATCTGACAGAAAAACTTGTTGCTAGGCACCTTTAGAAAGTACTCACCCAGTATGGGCTCTTAATTTTAATAGGAAGATCCTCCTCATCGCGGTTTTTTATTTKTTTCTCAGTTCAACAGAAAAAAATTCATACCTCCTCATTAATTGATTATAAGAAAAAATAATTTAATCAAATTTTGTAGGAAATTCAATGTTCTACAAAAAAGGTATCTTATGTTTTTTTCGTAAACCTCGCTATTTAAAAGATATTGAAGATTTGATAATAATTATTACACAGTCAGTAACAAAATTCATAAACAAAAATGAAATTTGTCTTAAAATAATCAAACTAAAATCTTCATATATATATATAATAGTACATAAAAATAATTGTTTAATAAATTTGTACAAAATCAATCTTTAATC